AGCACACAATTGTCCGTGAGAAAATATGGGTCACACAAAAAGCGGCTAGGATTGGAAATTGTGTACGCTGGAGCGAAAACGGCAAAATAATATCAAAATAGGATGAATGAATGCGAGTAGCATTCACCAAAGCGTTGTTTATGTTATGTTTATGTTGCGCATAAGTAATTCAATACAGGGGCTCTCATATTACGCGTCAAAGTCAAATCATGGAATGGGGAGAATTCAGACCTAGATAAAAAAAAAATTTCAATTAGGATGAAACGGGAACCATAGGGTACTATGTATCTCTATAACTCTCGAAAAATCGACGAAGATTAAAAACTTTATGAAATTAGATAACTCGATACATTTCAGTTAGTCGAAATATTCCGACAATTCGATACGTATTGATAGCTCAATGAATTTCAAAAATACTAAATATCGATAACTCGATAACTCTACAAATTTCGATAGCTATCGATAAATTTAGATAGCTGCGCGTTTCACAAACTGAATAAACTTCGATAACTAAGAAGTTTACATATCTCGATATACATCGATAACTCGATTTTGATAGCTCCATCAATTTCCACATCTATCGACAAATTTCTTTTATAACTCTATAAATGGACAATATAGTGACAACTCGACGAATTTATGCAATTCTAGAAATTTTGTAACCCGGTGAATTTTGAAAATTCCAAAAACTTCCATTTCACAATCCGACAAATTTCGATAGCTACCAAAAAGTTTCAATAAATCAATGTTTATCGATGATTCGATCATTTAAAACTTATATATCATAACTCGATAAATTTTGTTAACTCCATAACTCTGTAAATTTTTAACACTCGATAAAGGTATTGATTATCAAATAATTGTCAAATTAAATAAAATTTCATTAACTTGATAAATTACGATAACTCGATAAACTTTTAGGACTCGATAACTGCCGGTACATTTCGACAACTTATCTAAAACGTCTCGATAAATTTCGATAACTCAATAAACATTGACCAATTTCAATAACTCGATACATTCGGATAACTTGAAAAAATTCATGTTCCGATTTATTTCGATAACTATAAACTTTGGTGATGAGAAACTTAATAACTTTCGGGATGGGTCGCTAATGTTAAGTTCTTTGTTGTATATCGATAATCCTCTGCAATAATAGCACAACTCAAAATTTCAATTTTTCAGTAGAGCTAACTAAAGATTTTGCATTTCAAAATTAAGCAATAATATGTCTTGGAACGTTATTATTGTGGATTATTTGAAGTTATTCTGTAGGGAAGATGTGTAAGCTTTCCAATTCTGAATGCTTTACAAATATTGCGTAAGGCTTCGACTGAAAAAATACAAAATTTATAACTATTTTTGAGTAGTTAAACGAAAGTAAGTCCACTGGTATTACTGAACAACGGCACAATACGAAAAATGTCGTTATTTCCTAGGAAAGCATCACTAACCTTTCGACAGTTTTTTAATTACGCCAATATTCTCGATAAATTTGAGACATATGCCGATGTGCAAATGCAATGGCGAATTGCACGTATTATTCCCTCTCAGAACCATCAACTGTTTACTTCAGAGCAAACAAAAAAAAAAATTTGCCGAACTGAATGATGAATCGTGCTTCAGCACCCTCTCCGACAAAAAAGTTTTGAGTGCAAATAAAAATGTGTCCGGACACGAATGGATGTAAGTTCATTAGGGTACATGGCGTATGAGTAATATTTTCCATATGTATTAAAGTTTGAATTTGTTTTTAATTCACAATGCAAACTTAAAATGAAAATATCATAGGAAAATTACCAGATATACATATATAGAATAACTGTATACAGATCCGTAATCTGGAATCCAAAATTAAATTTACTGTGCGACAATTTTACGGCAATTCCAACAAACCCGGACTTTCCAAACTTTTGTCTGAAAGTATACATATCCAGTAATAAAACATTCGATGGATTTGCATAAGGGGTATTCCATCGTCACGGGTGGGACATTTGTACAGCAAAAATAGTTTTTCTTTTTTAATTTAAGTATAAAGTACTAAGCAATTCTACATTTTGATAAAGCTACACCTAGTTCACTAATATACGAGTTATTACCAAATACGAAAAATATTCCAACTTGATTTTATATTGGAAAATTCTGAGCTGTTTCTTCCGTCACGGGTAGGACAAAGAAAAGACACTGCTTTTTGGAGAACATATATTTTAAGGAAAGTCTGTGAATTTACTTAACATTTCTATCTGCATTAGATGTTTTACTATACAGAAAAGAACCAGCAATCCCAACAAAGCACAAACCATAATAAGAATTATTTGTTTATTATTAAAAAATTCAAAATTCTCCTGTCACGGGTGGGACAACTTTTGTCACGGGTGGGACACGTACGATTTTCTTCATGAAAGGAAGCTTCTAGTGAGATCCATATCAAAGAGATTAGGTATGATAAATGTTAGAGGTCAAATACAAGATCAATTGACCTACTTTTATGACAGTGGAGTCATTGTAAGACGCACGATATACTGCTGACCCCAGGATCTATTTTAGGGGCAATAGTTATACCAAACGAAAGCTAGAAGTCGCCAGATTGATGTATTAAAATGCATGGAAGAAAGGATTATTTGCAAACGCATGAAATTTTATATGCATTTTCCTAATGCACTTCTGCACGGTGCATTTGATTGCAACGAAATTTCGAATGTGCCTTAATGATTTTCAAGTTTGTTTAGAATAGCTATGTATGTCTGACTAATACTAACTACAGGCTAAACATGTATATCGACTACTGTTATCACGTCGATAGAGATGTCTAACCTGCTGTTAGTGTTGACCAGACATTGAGTAACCGGCTTAAGAGTGGCTCGAGTTGAGTTATTTTTGGAAACTGATTTCATGGACAAATCATGCTCAAATTTAGCTATTCCTTAAAACCATAGAACGTCAGAAAAGATCTTGTGTATCGATGTCTAATCCGAAAAGTTATCTGCATTAGAATACTTGTAAGCAGATACATATGTATATCTTTGTCACTTAAAGGCTATTTATTGGATTGAATTTATAAGTTTCGCGAACTTCTAGATTTTCTTGGTTGGAACTTTTCAGGTAATTGTTAATATTGACTTTTAATTGTTGTTAAGCAACCCTCATCATAGAATTCTCTGGCGTCTCTAAGATAGTAATGCTTATCTTGACTGTTCGAGCTGGCCACGCGAAATTTTTTACTACATCGCTTAGCCCACCAACAGTATTATGGTGTTTAGTCAACCTGTACTTCAGAGTTTTGTGGCATTAAACATAGGTTTGAAACGTTAAACTTATTTTTTTATTGTTAGGCATCATTAGAAAAAAATTATAAATGATTGTCACGGGCGGGACACGATAAAACGTTTCAAAATCTCTTAAGTAGGTACTTATAATATAATAAAAGAAATGAAATAGGGCTGCTTAGTATAAACACACTCTAGTTATGAAATTATAGAAAACTCCCTAAAGTAGTAACTAAGCAATACGAAGTTTAAAACTTTTTAGTCACGGGTTGGACATGCTAAACCGTAGTGATTTTATCCTATTATATAATTTAAATGCCTATTTTTCTTCAATGCCATATTGCTTCTTCGGGGCGCAGAAAGATCGAGACATTTATTCCCCCCTTCAAAAAAATAATAACTTTGTGAATACTTGATTTTGCAGAGCCTTCTATATTAAAATATGTTGTCGTATTCAACTACTTTTCTAATGTTGAAGTTTTGAGTGTATTTACAGTGTAATAAAATAATATAACTAAATTTTTTTTCGAAAAAACGTTAATTTCAGGTATTGAGCATTGATTCATCAAGCATTCCATGTTCAATAAGCTACTCTACAATTGGACACAAAGTTTCACTTACTCATGGAATACCCCATAAGTTAGCTCGTATTTTTATTCTATGGCCTTCTAAAGTTTTCATATCCCGGCTAAGTAGTTTTCACAAAAATTTAAAAATGGTTAAAATAAAAATCCTAGCGAAATTGAAGGTTAAGACTTATGCGGTAAAATTGCGTTGGAAATATTTTCGTAGAACATTTTAACCCATTAGCTAACGCCTCAAAGGGTAGGTTTGACCCTTACTTTGAGAAATCTCCAAAAAGTTCGGAAGTTCGTTAAAGGATTGATGTGCTCTAGTAAACTATTCTTAGGAAAATTTTACTAAGGGTATTTTCAGGCAAGAGCTTCACGTCACCAAGGTAAAAGTCTCTATAAAACTACATCAATAAAATCTATGCCCAGAAGAAATAACAGGCAAACTTAATTTAAAAAAATTTAGTTTTTTTTAAGCTTTTGCCTGAGAATACCGTAGTACGGCTAGTAGTAGTAAACGTCCATGCTTAATCCTAATTTCTTTTATTTTCTTCTAATAAAAATATTTACAGCATATCGCATGCTGAGTGCTCGGCAACCAGTTCGAAAACGCCCTATCTCAGAAAATTTTTAATCGACGTCCTATTTCAGAACGCTCTATTTTAGAACTTGATTGAAAACGCCCTATCTCAGCACATTTTCAATGTATTTTCGCTCGAGATAGGACGTTTTTGAACCGAATTCTAAGATAGAGTGCTTTTCCATAAAATTCTGAAATAGGGTCTCCTTCAAGAAGTAAGGCATTCTTAATAAGTTATCTCAGAAAGGGCAGTTTTAACAACGGCGGCGACGATACTTATGTACTTATCTACTGCAGTGTACATATACAGTATCGGTCATATCTATAGCACGCCATTTCAAAGTGATATTGTGTGCCACTTATGTTTATTTATTTATTTTTAAGAATTTTCAATTAAAATACAGTTCTTTCTCTAACAAACCCCTTATAAACCCAAGTGTAACAATTTGTAGATATGACCGATACTGTATGTATAAAATTATTTTATTTACCGTGAAATAACAGAAAAATTACAATTATTTTAAATGCTAACAACTTTTTATAAACACTTAAATGAGTATACAATTTTGTATGTGTACTTACTTTGACAATTTCCAATTGGCGGCATACGGAATCCCGACAATGGATCGGCTGAGAAATGGAACGGTCGTTGTCCGAATGCGAAATGGAATTGTTGCTGTTGTCCTAAAAGCGACAACACTGTTTTGTTGTAAGTTTTAAAATAACTGTTCTTATCTAAGGTTGGTTGTTCAAATAGCAATGTTAGATTAATTCGTTGTGTGTTTGTTTTTCAATGAATTTGTATGTGTCACCATAGGCTTTGTGCAGCTTGTTATAAAAAGTACTGAAAACGCTGCTGTGAATTTGTTAAGAATTTAATATTTTACTATGCCCCTTGCTAACATTTTCGTATTTTAATTTAGTTGCGCTTAATTTCCTTACAACTTTAAGTACTTAGCGCACTGCCTCTCAGCCTGAAAACTTCTCTTTCCACAGCCATGTTCATTATAAAATTATAAACGTTCGTCTGGTCGAAAAGGACACAGCATTGTTTTAACCGCTGCATCCAACTTTGGGCTAACATTTTACAACTAGCTACAAAACTTTAAACATATGTACATACATATATGCATACCAGGCACATAAGTGATCGTATGTACACAAAGGCGCAGCAACACCAAAACTAATGCCATTCATTTACTCTGCCGTTGCTGGCGAGAGATAAATCATTTGTGGATTCAATTGTTGCAACTTTCATTTCATTCAACATTCACTAGTCAGTGGACTGCAGTCGGTTGCCGGTATTCGTAAAATCCTTTTGTCCTTGACTGTTAGCCGAAAGTGAGGTAGAGCATTGAATGAGTTAGGAAGTTAGTTTGTGTGCCTTGCTAAAACTATGTACTGCCTGTCTTCCCAAAAACAAACCCATTTTAAATACATTTGTTTATACATACATACTACATATGTGTGTTGCAGTTTCAAATGAATAAACTTCCAGCTTTGCTGCTTTGGCAACTCATCTGTCTAAAATTGTCTACGTTTAACATATGCAAAGTAAAATATTTGCATGCTTATAAATATTTAGTAAATGGACAGATTAATGAATGGAACGGCTAGAGGACTTAGGAGCGAGAAGTTGGGTATAGCAAAGGCATTTTGGACTCAAAGTTTCATTAGTAAGGCTTCGCTAGCCGCTGGCAGACAAACGAATAGTTGAAAAAGGCATATTTCACTAGGCAAAAGCAGACGTACATACCTTTCCCTTTTTACGCATATACATAAATAATCGTATACATATGTACATACATATGTATGTATATGTATTAAAGAATGAATGTGTGTCCCCATTACTATTCAGGCATTGCATTTTCTAAAGTTTATTGGTAGGTGTGTGTTTGCATACGTTGGCGTTGGGATTTGCTAATGAATATTCTTAAAGATGAATTGTTTGATTTGACAATAGCGAAAGGAAGAAGGAGCAAAGCTCAGCATAAACAGAAATGGCTATTGCATGAGCAGGACAAAGGCAGGCCGCATTAACTACGAAGCGAGCGCATGCAGCTGCAAGGAAAATGGGCAAGGAGTAGATACTTTAAATAAGGGCAGACGTTTTCTATCTTGCAACTAATAAATTGTTGCTGTCATTACATAGTTGTTAGACTTGTATGTACATAGTTGTGATTACTGCAGTCGCATACCTTTAGAGTTCAAGCATCGAAATTAAATACATACACTTTCTTGGGGAAATGAAGGCGTAAGGGTTACTCGAACATATGAGACTTGCTCTGTAGTTTCTTTGATATGCATTTGGGTTTAGCATGTGACACCATATTTATGCGTGCGTGAAAGTTTATTTTTGTTTCTGTATATTGATTTTATAAGATGAAATATATCAGCATACTTACTGGTCTTTGAACGTGGCTCACGTGGTCCATCCACTGTCACTTTGATCGCTTTATTGTAAGTGGCAATATGTGGCGGATTCGTAGAAACAGTAATTGTGAGTGTGAAGCTCTTCCCTGCAAATAGAAAAGTTTGAATTTTTAAGCTGTTTGAGGTATTGAGAATGGTTTGAGATGTGTTTTATAAAATACGTTGACGATGGAATTCTGTTGAACTGAATAAGATCGGATCGCTAATTTACAAATACAAGATAAGACGCATTCTTGAGAGAAATCTTCCTAACTTAGAGTAAATAAAGAAGAGGAGACTGACAATTAGAGAATGTGGCATGGATTAGTCGCTAAGGCTTTTTTTTGTTTTGTTGCCTCATTCATATCGCGCACAATCCAACCACAGTAAGGGTACCACGACGTTATCAATCTTTCCCTAATGCAAAAGTCTTCGGAGACGTTATGCCGAGCACTGATTCAGAACTTTGCGAAATGCGTGCGTAGGGTGCTGTGCATACCTAAAACTGTGGGGCACTGTAACGAGGACATTTATTTCCAAAGCACAAAATAGGACTTATGTAGCTCCGAAGGATTCCATACCAATCAATCTCTCCTTTTTTGCAGGCTGTAGTGGGACTGATGAAGGCCGTTGTGGCTGAGTAGCTAGAGATGTGTACTATCACTTCGTGTGACCTGGGATTCGAGCAACATCTCAACTTGAAACCTTCTAATAGTATTTCTTCACTGAAAAGGCTTCTCATAAAACCATTTGCCGGTCATTCCGAGGCGGCGTAAAATTGCAGGTCCTCCATTTGTTATAACATCAAGACACACACCACAAACTGGAGGAGCAGCTCGGATAAACACCTAGCAAAAACGTAAACGCCAAAATAGTATTATAATTAACCAAGTTAGGGGATCTTACTCTTAAAGATGGTGCTTTTCGATAAAGTTTAATACTGCGATAGGCCTTGTTTGATTGCCTTACATATACTTAAAATCATGGCTGCAAACCACTCCAAAAATCTATGCGGTTCAAGTGGTTCAATTTCTTAATGCTAAGGTATATAAATATTACAAAAATATCCATCCAAATCCATAATATTAAAACTAAAGGTTTTGTTATTGAGATCAAATTTAAATATCTACATATAGAGTGGTGGAAAAAATAGGGACGCGAAATTTTATCAAGTATTGGTTTCTTTGTTTATTGCTTATTTTTAACCATATAAACCCTATTTTCAAACTTGGTGCAAAAACTATGAATATTCTGCATAGTTTCGTCTAAATTGCAAACCTTTTAATAAGAATTTGTAGAAAAAAATTTAAGTTTTAAGTTGATTTGTGCAAAAACTATGAATATTCTGCACAGTTTCATCTAAATTGCAACTTTTTTAATAAGAATTTTTAGAAAATAATTTTTAAGTTTTAAGTTGATTTTTAGCAATTTTACGTACAAGTATGTACAAGTATACTTATGATCAAAATAATATTAGTGCGGCATCTGATTATTTTTCTTTTGTGGGTTTAATGTTAATTAATTTTTTATAAAAGTATAGCTCGTTATATAACAAGCAACTAATATCAAATTTCAAACTTTGTATGAGAGTTAGAAAAAATCTACAAATTTCAACAAAATTTCATCAAAGACTCAAACTTTTTAATCCAAACTGCAAAAATCTGAGTTTTATAAATTTTTTATTTAACAAGCATTATTAAGCATTTTCTTTTATATAAAAAAAATCAAGCATTCTTTACCCGTATATGAATGAAATTACAACTCACAGAGTTGCCATCAAAAAAAAAATTTAGCATTTTTACTATACGGGATGCATTTTTAGACCAAGTATTACTAAACTTGAAAAATACTTTAGTGGATTTTAATTTTTGAACCGAACCGAACCGAACCATTTTTTGGAGTAGTTTTCGGTTCGGTTTTGGCATTTCAAAATAAAAACGGTTCGGTTCGAAACCCGAAAAAAGCGACGGTTCGGGTCAAAAATCTGCTTAAAACTTCATAGCACAATATATTTCCATCATTTACAGTTGACCATTATCCTTATTATAGAACTAGATCGCTGGCAAACCATACTTGTTGCAGCACTACTTAGATAAATCCGCTAACTGCTTCACTTTGTTTTCCTGAAATTTGTGTGCCATAAGGAAATGAGCCCTAGGTATTGCACAAGAATGAAGTACTGTTACTATCAGCATTCTAGCGTGTTTTCCGAGATGTCGGTGAGCGGTGATAATCGCTACAATCCTAGATACATGTACCTTTGACCTATTTAACCGCGCTGCTTTACAGCCATAGGCAGGCCAAAGCTCATGTGCTATTTTGCTAGTCTGCATCTCTGACAACCTCTTCGTTGCTGGTTTCAGAAAGTGCAAGTAAATTCCTGTTTTATTTGTCAGAGCGACTATCTCAGCATCAACGCTACCGATTCGGCCAAACGAGCTCCCGCCTTGAACAATTCGTTTGCTCTCTCGATGCCTTCTATGTACCTATGGCTGGGAACCCAGACAAGATGCATAGCTATTGACTGAGTCACCGATCGTAGTTTCATGTTGCAGGAGATATGTGTATCTAGTAGTGCTGAGTAAATCACCGACTTTTCTTTCATAGTGATACTAACTATTATTTAGTAACCAACAGGCCTAAAATAGGACTATGACTACCTGAGTCTCAATGCTGGGTACATTACGGCTTCCTTTAGGACAAAAAATTAATACGCTGAATTTTGTTTTAATTTCAATCGTAAACCTAACATTCAGTTTATGTAATTGGTTAAGAGGCGGATGCACGTGGCGTCAATTGATTTCCATGTGGTTCCACCCTAAAGTTGGTACTACCCTCATACTGACAGATTTAGCTGATTACACATTGCATCTGCTAGTTTTTCATTTTGTATTGCCAGAATTAGAGAATTGTGAATTATTGTAAAATTCTGGATACCTCATATGCTTAGGTACAATCACTGAGATTAAGATAGCTAAGCTACTTCAAATAAGAAATGTTCAAACTAAAATTGGATACAGCGTGGTACATTTACAAACAATAAAACAGTGCTAGTGGAACCTTAATATCAATCCGTTTTAGAAGTACATCGTCCTGTTTGCTAGCATATGTACTTCTTAAGTTATGGGGAATATAATTTTGGATGAGGTCGTAGTCAATTACTCCGCCGAGGCATCTAGTATTCGTATAAATCATACCTCCAACGAGATCTCTTCTCTAAAGATGATACTCATATAAAAAAGGTAGTTTTTTTCGAAAAGAAATTTAGAATCCAGTATTAAAGAGAAACATGTTTAGGCGAGCGCTCTAGAACCTCAGAAGTCATTGGCACAGATATCTAACTGGTTAATTGCGTTTAAGGGCATTTTCGTTAGCGAAGGCCTACGCGTGTGTGCATAGATTAACTCATGAATGAAATATCGTTCTAGTACTGGCATGCATTGAGAAAATTTACGCTCTTGCTGAACACAATGATATCCAGTTGCTCTCATCAACTCGCACAAATCCTGAGCTATGCCTTGCATTAGATCCAAAAACGATAACGATAACTATCTAGATATTGTTTTATCTATCCAAAATAAGTTTAAGACTGTTTAGTGATCAGAATTGATAGAAATATTTTTTTTAACAACGTTCACCTTTCGGTAACTAACATACACGAAAAGCTTAGAAATACATTTAACGTTTGGAAGAGTTATAAAACTGGATGTACCACAATTTGCCAAAACTGCCAAATTCTTATGCACACAACTTTTTATTAGGAAAATATATATGTAAGTACATAAGATTTTGTATTATAGCCCTATTTGATTGAAAATTCTCTTTCTACTCTTTCTTCTCTATACCATTTCGAAAGCTAATTAAACAGGCTTGTACATAAATAAGCACAAAGCACACTTTAAGCCTACATACTTAACGTATGCACACACATACATACATATGTAAAATTTTATTTAAAATGCTCCCTGTTAAGTGTCCCCTTTTTGTTTTTTCTTGCTACTATTGCCAACTAAAATGTTCACTCATTAATCATTGGAAGCGGCAAAGCGTGTTGGTTGCTAATGACAATTCACGCCACATAATCGTTTTCATTATTTTTAAGACATATGCACACAACTCAAATTGCAGACAATAAAGACATTTTCTGGAAAATCTTCAATGTTTACACAGGTATCCAGTACGAGTACGCGTTTGCAAGGAGGGCATGAACCAAAGGTAGGTACAATCAGCGAAAGGATAGACATTTGCTGAACAAATGCGCGCTTAAAAATCAAGAAAAGGGACGAAGCGTGAATTGTCTTAGTCCTGTTGCTTTTTAGAAATTAAGAAGGCATATGAGTGTTTGTATGTAAATACATATAAATATGTGTACGTATGCGCATATGTGTAGTTCTTTTTTAAGATGTGTTATATGCATCTGTGTATGTATGTAAATGTAAGTGATTAACGCTTTGTTTGCTAAGTTAAAAGCATTTCAACATTTCATTTTCTTTGGCGTTGGTAACACTTGAAGTTGACAAAAGAATCTTTGGCGCGAGAAGTAAAGCAAAAGTGTGGTAAGTTAATTAAATTTTAGGGCAAAAGAATGCTTAAGTCCCCATGCCTGCAACTTAATATCTACTACATATGTATGTATTTATGTACGTGCACGCAAGTTCTTTTCCATAACAAAAGTTCTTAAAAGCGTTGCTAATAATGAGCTCAAACAATAAAAACAAAATAAATTCCATGTTAAACACATAGCAAACAAATGGGCAAAAATCATAAACAAACAAACGAACACAAAAAAGAATGAAGTAAAAGTGAGAAACTTGTGCAGTCGCAGCAAATCACAAAGCCAACAACTTGAAATCCTCATAAATCTTACTGTTTTCATTGGCATTTTTTCTCACCCTCTCTCCCACCCTTGCTGGTTAGCGGTTTTTTCTGCTAATATTAACAAATACCTTTGCTTGTAATGCTTACGTCTACAAATAGCGCTCTACAATCACCACTTCCTTGGCAAAAGAAAAAAAAACAAAAAATAAGAAAAATCATGAACTAAGTAGAAGCACAAAAACAGCAACACTGACACGAAAGAAATGCCTACACGCAAGTGTGAAAAAAC